AGTGTCTTTAGAAGAGCCAAGATGGCTTTGGGATTGCTCTCCTGTACTATTGTAGACATGTGAGTTATATGCTTACGTATGTGTGTTTACCTCATGCAATTATCAACATTTATTCTATATTTAAGACCTTAGAATCAGTTAAATCTTAGAATAGCTTTGGAAGTGGATATAGGCTGCAGGGTTAGAAGTAGAAGATAGTGTATTTTAAAACAGTATTATTTGTAAGTGATAAAATGTGAAGATTTTTAATGGAAGAAGTAAGTGTGATAAAAAACGGTTAAAAATTATGATATATGAAACTGCTAAAGAAGAGGTAAAATAAAAATCAGATAACCTAACAATGTTTAGAAAAAATAAGGATAAGACAAGAATTTGTTTGTTTTTCTGTTTGTATTGTTTATTTGTGTTATAAAATGAATTTAAAAAATTGGGGGGGGGAGGGAGACCTCAGAATTACTATAACAGGCGACTGACAGCCCTCTCCTCCTCCATATAGTTGTCCAACCGGATTTTTAAGGCACCAAGGTTGGTCATCACTGGCTCCTGTGGCAAGGAGTTCCACAGTTTAACTCTGCGCTCTGCAAAGAAAGCCTTTCTTTTCATCCGTGGAAAAGGACACCGTCTGCCCCAAATCTCCCAACAGGAAGATTCTGCCCGGCTCCCCCCCCCCCACGAAAAAAGAAGGGGTTACTCACCCAACGTGTACGGATAGACAGTGACCATGTTGGACTTGGCAGACCCAGCCTTGTACCAGCTGAGGTCCGGGTAGCGCACCCAGGCGGTGACGGCGCAGTGGTACTTGCCCTCGTCCGACGGCTGCACCCCATGGAGGCGCAGGCGGTGGCTGGTGGGGCTGGCTTTGTCCACGCTGACGGCGCCCCCCGAGGGCCGGCTGGCCAAGTCAGCCACCCCCTCGCGGCTGACGGAGGCCAGCAGGACCCCGTGAGAGGTGGGTCCCTCGTCGGGCAGCTCCACCCACCAGCTGAGGGCCAGGGCGATGTCCTGCGTGGCTTCCACCGAGACGTTGCAGCGCACCTCGGCCGTGTCCCCGCGGTAGATGGTGGCAGACGGCAGCCACGCCGTGGCCTCAAGCACCACCGCTGCAGGGGGGGGGGAGAGAAGAGGACGGATTCAGCATCGCCAAACCCCAGCAACATACCTCAGAGACACTCCTCTGCCTGGCAGCTTCGATTATCATTTTTCTTAGCCAATCCATCGAGTCCCAGCACCCTCTTCCGACGATGGCCAAGAGAACCTAGGAATTGAGGTCATTCTGCCTGGACACTGAGGTCCAGCGCCGAGGGCCTTCTGGTGGTTCCCTCCCTGCAAGAAGCCAAG